ACAGTCCAAAAAGTCCCAGAGACAATGGGAATGCTTCTGCTGACTTCAGTAGGATCTGGGTCAGGTTGCAAAGTGCTGACAGATACATAAAAAGGTAACAACAAACATTCAAAAGGTCAAATATTTTGGCTTCCAGATGTTGTTGTGTGGTATAGACACAAAAGAATAGTTACGTAGTAAGAAGCAGTAGAGACTGAAGTTGAAAGGGATGCAGAAAGGCCAAGCACAGAGGAAAAGGCAGGCTGTGCTTCTTAGTACCTAGGCACTTTCCTCACTTCCACGTTTGGAACACATTTCTGCTGCACAGAAACAGAAATGGTGGATAACAGCATGAAGCAATAATAAATTATTGCATGCACGTTGGCCCAGCAGGAAATTCTCCAGGGAAACAGCAGGGAAAAAAGGAAGCATGTCACCAGCATCGCCTTTATGCAAAGGCCATGAGTGTGCTTTTAGAAGTAGACTTTGTTTCAATGTTTTTGGAAAATTAATATCAGAGTGATTGCTAAACTGCCTTACTGAGTGCTGCAATCACATTCCCAGGGGAACAGCTCTACTTCAGAAATTTGAAAAAATGGCAAAAGCACTGCACAAAAGTGCAGCTTCCAGCAGGAGGGCTGGAAAGAGGGGTGAGCTTTCAGAATCAGGCTTTTGAGAACTTTTAAGTGTACAATTCAGTAACTGTGAGAAAAAAAAAAAAAAGAGCCAAGAACGAACTACTGAAACAGAATATTTCTTCTTAAAACAACACACAAGAACGGAACAGCTCACTGTTTCCACAATAATATCTGTATACATAAACTTACATACACAAAGAGTAATTGTATACATATATATATACACACATCAATAGTAGGGTAATTATTTTAGTAGTTTATACTACTGCCCTAGGCTTAATCTTGTTGACTTGTTAAAACACTGCAAACTCATTTTCATCTAATATTTTCCTATTCAGAAATAGGAATTTAAGTACATACACTTCAGTGTTGGAGCCTCCAGGGCTGGCTGATTTGTGGCACAGCCCACTCCAACGCTGTGTAGCAAAGATATGATTTATGAAGGTGACAGAAGGTGCAGCATTTTGTCCAGTAACACAGATTAACAGACCTTTACAAACTCCCCTCTCCTGCAAACTGTGGTGAGGGGTAGTGCATCCACACTATTTTAATATGGCCGTTGGGAGCTCGCACCCTTTTTTTGGTATATGCACTATGAACTCAGCCCTTCCATCCCTCAGCAGCTTGTCCAATTGGCACACAGTCTCAAAGCTTCAGTGGACCATGCATGGCAGACACTGAGCAGGCAACCGTGGGACTGAACTTCCTGCTGCTGCCATGTTACACCCCAGAAACTACAGTGCAGCCATATCACCACATTTATTGTGCTACGGACTTAAGGAACATGTTTTTAAAAGAAGATCTACATACCACGAAAAAAAAAAAGTTAAGAAATAAAGACTGAATTCAGGTCTGGAAACTTGAAAGGAAAAAAACAAACAAACTCATTTTTTGAACGCTCTGGGGGAGAGAATCACAATCACTCACGTACAGAGATACTGCTGTCTTTCAACAGCCTGTAGTACTGCACACTATAGTTAAAAAGGAGATCTGTAGACAAGACTACAAAAAGTGGAACATTTTGCTACTGGAATAAAACAGCTTGTCTGTCTCATTAAGTCTGCTGCTGGACTGATGGTTAAATGCACAAGTGCTTCTTGCAAAGCTCCCCTACCTGCAGAAACTCGGCCAGCTGGCTTCTGGACACAGGCTGAGGAGAAGGCTGAGTGCCTATAAAAAGGTAGCATTCCTCCTTGCAGTAAGAAATTCAAAATCTAAGCTATTCATAGGCGGAAAATAGGGAAAAAAAAAAAAAAAAAAAAAAAAAAGCAATGTGCTAATGAACTTTCTTTTTCAATTCAAAGCTAAGCAGACCACTATTGATCTAGGCAATTCCAGGCAGCCTTCAATCCAACACGCAATTAGCTGGTATCAAAAAGATGTGTACACACAATAAAAGCGTAACACCCCACCCCTCGTATCCTATTTCTCATAAGGCAAACATTGCATCTGCAATTGCTGGAGGGAGCCTCCTTCCTCCTCAGTGCAGCTCCTTAGCCAAAGACAAATGAATCACGTCTGTGGTGCTAAAATGCACTTCTCTGTGACAAAATGAGGGTGCGTAGCAGGTTCAATACCAGGAGATACTTATGAGGGAAACACTCATGAGATTGTGAACGCTCAGCAGCAGGCCAGCCAGACGATGCTGCTGGGAGAGTGTTTTTTCATCACTTGACATATGAGTTCTGTGGCTGACATCCAAGCCGAAGGAGAGCAGAGGTTGAGGGTAGAGCAGTGCTCTCATATCAGATGACAAAGAGGACCCCAGATGTGCTAAGATGTTACAGAGGGATTGTATGTGGTGAGTACTGACACAAAGACTCAGCTTCCCAGACCACGTTCAGAGCATTCACTTCAGTTTTCATACATACAAGGTATGCTAAAAAGACATTTTATCAGGAATACTGCAGGAAAAACGAGTTGACAGCCCCACTGTGGTTCATGCAGTCTAACAAAGCGAAACGAACACAAAGTCAACTGTAGAAACTCGACCAATACAAACAACTGAGCCTCTGATGCAGTCCTACAGGACAAGGAGGAGCTGATCATGCAGATTTAAAGCTTACCTCAGCCAGAACTAACAACTTCTTCATAAGTAACTACATGGAAGAGAATGAACCATCTTTTGCTAATCGCTGAGTAGTACTTTTCGCTGTTGCCACCATACTCACACCATGACAGCACCCAAAGAAACTTATCTTCCTGTCCTTTGCCTTCCTAAAGCATCTTTAATGATATCCAGAAGATACTGCTGCTCTGAGTTAGAGACAGAAATCCAAACTTTCACTTATGCATCGAGACCGATATAAGCACACAATGCCAGAAAGGAATCAAATCCTCTAGGGGATTCTCTCTAGGGAATCAGACAGGAAACACATATTTACTTGGGCTGAGGGAAAAAAATAATTGGATCTTCTGCTGGGAAAAAGAAATCTACCCATCATAATCGGTTGGGTATCAATAATAAGAAAGGTAGATACCAACTTTTAAGAAGGTTCAAAAGGAAAGAAATTGTACAATCCCCACTGCTTACCAAGAAACTTTTGAGTTTAATGATCACTACAGAACTTACAGAAAATACATTTATCCAAATGATCAGGAGCTTTACATACTGCCATCACAATGTCATTCATCACACCCTCCATCTGCTCTCCTTTTCTGCTCCAAGTGGATTGCCACTAATTTCAAATCCACTTTCTGCACGCCACCCTCCAGTGAAGATAGAGAGGGCTGGCTGGAGAGCCCGCTGCTGCTGGGGATGTTCAGCCTACAATGGGTGTGTGGCAATACAGAAGGTCTCTCAGTGAAAGGTAGCAAAGGGGCTTCAGAGAATGAGGAAATCAGGTAAGCCAAGCTAAATCAAGGCAGCATTTAAAGAAGGAAAGATAAATAGAAGAAATAAAAGTATTTTCAGTTGAGCTTGAGAGGAAGATTAAGGCAGCAGCATCACACTACTCAGTGCCTATGTGAACAGTCTGACTTCCACAGCAAGCACAGAGCTGCTATGGGGAGTCAAGAAATAGCCAATACAGCATGGTGGGACAGCTTTGGCAGCACCATGCTGAGTAGGACTGAAGAGCAGCACGCAAAACCAAATGATTGGGGAGGGGGGGGAAGAAAAAAAGAAAAAACCCAACCATTTATGAGAGATCATAAAAAATTAATGCATCTGTAAAAAGCTTCAAATGATTTTACTTCTTGGATCCTTATGAGGAAGCAGGCAAACCCCAACAGGTAAGAGGGAGGGACGCACATGGTGTGGGAAAAATGCTTCATGCTCCTCAGATCGAAGCAGTTGTTTGTTTAACGACCTGCATTGTTTCGCAAACAATAACCAACAGATCACTGCTGAGCTTGGATTGCAAAATCTATCCAGGCTGAGAGGGAAAGACTGGAATCGGGCACAGATGCTGTGTTCCTCATCTAGGGAAATTCACTGTTTGTATACACTGCTAAAGTACTGATTCTTGAGAGAAACAGCAAATTAGTGAAGAAAATTATAAACATGACTATTTCTGACTGAGCTCAGTAACTTAAATACTTAATGAAGAAAGAAAAGGAAAGTTAAGGAACTTGCTCTGAAATGGAATATTACAAAACACTCATTGCAAGTCAGAGTTTTAGTGAGATAGAGAATGTTTCCAAAATACCAGCTAATAAAAACAAACTTTGAGTCACCAAATTATCTTTAAAACCACCACATGCATACAGTGCCAAGGGCTCTGTGATCTGACCCTCACAGCCCATGAGCATAATTTCCTATGGGATGAAGCATTCTGCTGAGCTGGGGGATTACTCACAGCTACTGAGCATCTGAGTGACTCACTGCTGGATGGGGACTTAGTGCTGAACTCCACAAATGCCAGAAGTTCAACACTGAGCAGTCCCTGACACACACTGGATCTGGAAAGTAGACACTATGGTCTGCAGTGATTCTCCCCACTCCATGACCCAACGCCCAGCTCAGGGCAGACTGCATGGTGTCTGGGGACAGGGTGAGCCTTCAAACACCCAAAGGTAACTTCCACGGAACAGGAACACACCACCTGCACGCTGTGCTTCGACTCAAGCGTGGAGGTCAATGTCACAAAGACAAACGAGTTGAGATATCTAACCCACAGCTTCGACAGCCACCGCCCCACCTTGCAGGTTCTGGCTCATGGGCTTTCCACAGTTCCTCACGCAGATGCTGTGGATTTTAAGGAAAATCTTTCTATTTAAGAAACTGTTCCACAGCAATCAAACCGCCAGCTTCTTAGCAGCGGAGAGCTAAGCCCTTAGAACTCGAAATGGAAACATCTGGTGTCACTTACGGACACGAAGAAGAGCAGATCTAACTGCAAGGGGAATCGGGGGCTGCGCCGCCGTAGGGCCGGCAGGTACCTGAGCAGAAGCTGTTGCTGCTGATGGTCCTGGCGGAGCCCCCGGAGGAGCTGAGCGGGTTGAACTCCCGGCTCTCCTCCTCCGAAAAGGGCGACTCGGAGGCGGGCGACACCTTGCGCTGCTGCGGCGGCTGCGGCCGGAGGACGAGGCGGGGGATGCGGCTGCGGGACACCTCCTTCTCCGGGTGCGCCTTCTGCTCCTCCTCGGGAAAGAAGGAAGGAAGGAAGCCCCCCGGCCGTCAGCGCCCGCTCCCGCCCGCCGCCCCTCGGACGCGCCCTCCGCCACCCGCGGAGGCGGGCAGGAGGCGGCCTCCGCCCCCCGGGGGGGCGCGGGCTCGGCCCGGCTCGGCTCTGCCGCCCGCGGCCGCCGCGCAGCGGGAGAAGGGAGAGGAAGCGGTGGCTGCGGCGTGGGGCGCCCCGAGGCGGCGGCGGTGCATCCCGCGGGCCCAGCCCGAGCCGCCGCCCGCCCCCTGCGGCACTCCGGATCCCGCCTCACCCCTGGGGCCACCGCCTCGCAGCCCCGCTCTAACCTCGGTTCCGCAGCCTCGCTCCAAACCCGGTCCCGCAGTCCCGCTCCTCCCTCAGCCCGAATTTCCCCGACCTCGCAGCCCCGAGTCCCGCAGCCCGCCTTTCCCCCGCAGCCCACCGGTCTCGCCGCCTCCCGCCGCCCGTGCTCCGCCGCAGCCTTCTCCCGCCCGGCTCTCACCTTGCTGCTTTCCCGCATGGGCCCCATGGTGCTCAGTCACGGCGCAGTCCGGCGCGGGCACCTGGCATGGGCGAGAGGGACGCGCGCGGAGGCTGCTGCTGCGGCGGCCGCTGCGCTACGGGTGGCAGAGCCCGGCCCGGCCCCGCCGCTCCCCGCCCCGACACGTGGTGCCGCCGCCCGCCCGCCCTGGGGCGCTGAGCGCGGGGATCGGGAGCGGCTCTGGCCGGCTCCGGCGCTGCCCCGTGCTTCAGGTGCGCGACACCGCCGCCTCGAGCAGCCGCCGCCGCCCGCTGAAGCCTGCGGGGATTGTAGCGCGTTGAACGCGAGCAGCCCCTGCGCTGACTTTATTTGCAGTTTTATGGATTTCACGCTGAGGCGCCGGAGCTGAGACGTAACGGAGGCAGATGTTGTAAGGGCGGGCTTGATGAATGCTCCGCTGTATAAATAGCGCAGCGTGGCAGAGGTTTTCTGCCGCTTGTTATTCAGTGACAGCTTTTTTACGGAACGTGTAGCGATGCGAAAACTCACTTTATCCTCAGACAGTACGTTGCATAGTATATTTAACGACTGTATTGTCTCACCGGGACAACTGGAGCTGACCCTGCACCAGCCAACACACGTGTGCTAACCCCGTCTGGCGAAAGCACTGGCTAAAAGCCATGGGCGTGTTAGCAGGACTGCTGGCGTAGAGGACGCCTTGTCCACAAAAACAGAGGTAAACTCAACACGGAGTTATTGTGGGGCTCCACCCTGAAGTCTCCTTACAGCGCCTGGTGAATTGCAGGAGGTCTGCTGTCAGCAGAGGTATTTTGGGGCAGAGATGTCCTTCACATGTCTGTCTGCTGTGTGCATAGGACTCCAGTATCTTTTGTGATCTTGTGGTTGGTGTTCGAACAAATGTTAAATGCTGCCTCAAAAAGAATTAGGAGCAAAAGTGTGCTTTCTGTGCAGCACCAAGCACGCGTACTGTTGGCAATAGGAAAGGTGATGTGTGTTCCTCTAGTCCTCAAAGAGGAAGGTTGACACCAGCGAGGGTTGTCACACCAATTGTTTGATGTACAGAGTTATAATTGCTAATTGATTAACCTGGTGCAAGGATTACATCTATTACTTACGGAGAGTTTGAAGCTGTGCTCTGCCAAAAAATGATACCATCGTCTCTGGGCATTGTCAGGGCATCTGTAATTCAAAGTGAGATGGTTCTATTTTCAGAAGTGCTTAAATCCCTGTAGCAGCAATGTTGTGTGCCTATAAAATGTCTTCTAAGCAGTGGGGTATACTTTCCAGAGGCGCAGAACAGGAGCTGTACTCCAGACCTTCCCCTAATACTCCAAGACTGTTTCCATGGAGAATGGAAAATTGCAAATCACATCTTTTAATCCCCCACATTTGCTGTTCTGTTCAGCAGAAAGCAGGGCACCTGGGCACGTGGCTCCTGCCACTGCACGTGGCACGTGGAAGAGCGCTGCTGGGCCTGCGGTGGAGGAGCTGAGAGGCTGTGCAGCATTGCCATAGTAACTCCTCTACAGTTGACGGTTCGATTGCTTAAGCCTGCTTTATTTTCTTCTATTTGCAGCTCAAATTTTTTCCTCGCTGAGAGGGATGTGAGAAGTGAAGTCCCAGAGCTGCCTCAGGAGGCAAAATGGGATGCAATTCCCTTTGATCTCCTCTCCTTTTTGCATACAGATTTCTGGCCCTATCATAAATCACAGAACGATCATTAACGTTCGAGCACTTTTTTTTTTTCTTAACAGTCTGTGTACATATAATAAATACTGAGGAATTCGTTCAGTGTTCAGCTTATTAAAATACTATTTCTGTGCAGTAGTTAATTATTAGAACTGGGAGGAACACATACCAAGAAAGACTGTAGGGCATCACTCTTAGTCTCCTCTTTGATGTACTTCCAGTCCTGCAATATTACCTGATTCGCTGAGCTGATTCGCTCAGGTTATTAGCTGATTTTTCTGATTTATTTGCAACTCTGACTCAAACTGTGTTTGCTGTTGAAAGGGAAAATGTTATAAATTCCTACGGGCCTCAGAAAACCCACAGAACACAGTGTCAGTGTACTCCTCCTGAGCAGCACCATCCCCAGAGGAGGCTGTCTCTGGCTGCAAGCTCAGCAAAGTACCCACGCTGTAGGAGCTGCCAGGGAAGGCTGGGCACCGAGCCAGAGCTCTTGGTCAGGCCTTTTGCTTTCCTACTAGGGGATCAAGACCTGGGCAGTCCTTTTCCAGGCCTTGCTGCTCGCATCTGCACTCACATGGGTGTCTGCAGGAAGACATCTCAAGGGAAAATACAGTGTGCCACCCCCTGAGGCCTCTTTGTGATCCAGCTGCATGCTAGGAGTTGTCCCGGTGGAGAATAATGTCCTCCCAGCTGTTATCAGGCAGCAGTTATTCTTTCCCATAGCATACATAAAAGAACTTTGGGGCATTGATGCTTCCACACATATGAAGATAAAAACTTCACCTGAAATTTTTACAAATCTTTCAGTGACATTTGGCTAGGTATGGGAACAGGCTGCCCAAGATCACTATCCATAGAGCTGTTCAATAAAAGAGTAGTAGTTGTGGCACTGAGGGATGTGTTTAGTTGGCATGGTTTGATGGGTTGGTGTTTAGTGGTCTTTCCAACATTCACGATTCTATGATTCTATGATTTGTTTTTGTGAGATTATTTGTCCCACCTGGTGATGCCTGGACTCTGGACATCTGCAGATGCTGGCTTCCAGTCTGATTTCTTGTAGTGTGATGTTTTTGCTTTTGGCATTTCAGAATAACAGCAGCAGAGAAAGTACACGAAAGGTCTCCTCTGCTCGGAATTGGGCAGTGCAGAAGATCAAGCCCAAGACATTCTGGGAATTGTGTGGAGCTCAGCAGTGTGTACTTCCCATCCACCAACACAAGGAGTTTATCTGTGCTGCCTGCAGAGACCAGGACTCATCAGAGACCATCCCTGTGGCACAGCCTTACACTTCGCCGCTTCAAACCCATGAATTTCCCTTCTTCTCTGTGCAGAAGCTCAGCTTCAGCAGGAAGGTTTCCACTCTTCATTTATTTTAATTTTAGAGAAGGAGAAGGCAGGCTTTGTAGGGAAACAGAGGCTGCTTTCTCCTCAGGTGGCTGAAGGAATGGGCCATTTTGGTTATGGGCTGTGGTTATTTGGCAGTGTTCTGAGTTCTTGTACAATTTGGCTTTATGGGAAATGTTATGCTCCTGCCATCAAATTATTGTCTATTGGAAGCTGGTTCCAGACCAGGCCTGCTTGTTGCTCAGACCAGGGCAGCTTCAGTTTTTATACAGTTTTTATACAGCTGACAGCACTGACATTCAGGATGCAGAAACAAATTTGTTGCAATCTTAGATGTTTTTCGTAGAATCCTAGAATCATTAAGGCTGAAAAAGACTGCTGAAATCTTCTAGTCCATCTTGTTTTGTTGCCAAGTTACTTTGCATCACAGAATCTCTAAGTTTTCATGCCTAGTGGCCTGTAGGCTTGCTGTCCCCCTGTCACGGACACAGGTAGATCTTAGGGGTAACTCCGTGACACCTAGATTTATTTAAACACATTCCAGTGGGCTGCATTTTTCCTCTGAGTTTGCTCTGGCCTTTTGGTCAAGAATATGAAGGCAGTAGCTCATACTGCTTCAGGACCAAGTCCAGATTTTGTTCTTGAATCACATCCCCTCTGAGGTCAAGGGAAACAGTGAGCAGGGCAGAGGGCAGATCCTGAACTATTCCATTAATGCAGTCAGAGAGCTGACAGTGCTCTGTCTGTGACATACAGAGCATCTTTAGTTTACTAGCTGAGGCCTGTGGTGCTTTGACCTTTTTTCCCCACCTGAAAGATGAGAATGATGCTGAAATTAGGTTTTCCAAGTTTGGAAATGGGCAAATGTGGGGAAGATTGTGAAAGCACACAGAGCCAGCACATTGTGAATAGTAAATGTAATTGACTTGGTGATCTTATTTAAATGTTTGCTTTCTAACCAAGTGTTTAGTTTATTGGTGAGAAACACAATGAAAGTGTTGCTAAGCATACAAGATTGTTCATTTGATGTCATGTGTATCAGTATGTCAGTAGGGGTTAGGATAAACAGAAACAGTGAGGAAATCAGAAGTGGAAGTATTAGAAGATTACAAATAAATTATATTTAAAACATCAGAATCAAAATGCTTTTGCATAGCTTGTAGATGGAAAATCATTGTAAAACAACAAGGTAAGTATAAAAAGAAGAAAACAAAATATTAGCAAATGAATGCTCATTTAATCTATTTGTATTTAATATTTATGAATCTGTTTTTTACAATTTTTTAGTTTTGTTGGGTGGTGCAAAATGGATGCTTTTTCTGTTTCAGAAATAAATATGTCTATATTCTGACTAACCTTATTTGAATAAGACCAAATTCCCCAATCTTAGTGACAGCCTCTGGCTTTGCTTATTAGGTACGTTGATCCTGATTTTCCATTCATGTGGACCTCAGACATTTCCCAGATGCTAAAAAGAACACCAAATGGATCTAAACAGTGTCTTAATTTACACTTCAGGGTCTTCTGAGAATTACCTGAAAAATTCTTTCATTATCTGTAAGAAATACTGGAGATGAGAGAAAGATGAGAGGACGGAGTAGCATTATAATATATAGAAAAGTGCAAAAGGGAGCTGTAAGTTCACGTCAGTCAGGCAAAATAGGAGAATAATTCATTTGAGACTGTGGCAACACAGGTCAGAGGTTAGGAATATGACTAGAAGCTATCAGAATATCTTTGTGGGAAGTACATCTTGTCAAAAGCATCATTACATAGAGTGAATAGTAACGATTTAAAAAAATCATCTGTGACGAAGTTAAAAGCTCTGCCAGCAGGATAGGAAAATGTTTTGGAAAGCAATTTCCAAAAAAAAAAAAAAAACAACCAACATTGGAGCCAAATACTTAAATGTCTCAATGTGAATTCTTCAACCCTGGCTGTGGTTAAAGGCAGGAATGCCTGAGAATGGAATGCTGAGCTGAAGGAGGGGAGTGATCTTGCCTGTGCACATGGTGCCAGTGAAGATCTCTGCTGGAACAGGGTGTTTGTTTCCAGTCGGGAAAAGTTCAAGGGAGATGTGATTTTCTGCAAGACATTTATTTAAT